CGGGCGGCTTGACAGGGAGCGGGACGGCCCGCAGGTTGCCGGAGCCTGCCCGGTCTTTGGAGAAAGATGTTTGTTTCTGTGAAAAGTTGTTGGCCCTGTCATTTAGTTAAGTAATGGCTGCTCCTGTCGGCCCAAGATGGCCGGACAGGGAGGAGAAAGAGAAGGGGGGGGGGAGGTAAACACGAAACAAATACCGGGAACGAATATGCACGTCGCCCGGAGCGTGAAGCCCCCGGTGAACGTGGAGGGAAACTCTCCAGCGCATTGCAAGTTCTTTCTGGGTGCTTTCCTGCTGCGGGCAGGGCGTTTGCAGCGCTGGTGTCCTCCTTATCAACCTGTAGCACATTCTGCTGCCCATCCGTAAGCTGTCGACAAAGGCTGTGCAGGCTGAGCATCTGCCGGTTGTATTTAAAGACTAAACGTGAAGAAAACGTTTGGGTAACAGAATAAATCGGATTGTTTTTCGAATACCACAAGGTTGAAGCAGGGAACCGTGTCCTTCTGGTTCCTGCTTTCTGACTTGTTCCTGTCAGTAGCGTTGCATTTGACACTTTGTTCATCCTATTGTTGTGCCCATGCTGTATGCTGATATTTCCGCGTGAAGAATTTTTTTTTCTGTGTTGCTGGTCTTCGTTGATCTGAAGAGCTAAATCATAAAGCGTGTTGAATTTGGGAGCCTGGGCCCTTACTTGTGTTTGGATGTTTATTTCTGGCATGCTTGGAAAAGCTCAATGTCAGGACGTGGGGGGAGGGGGAAGGGATGGAAGGAAAAGCAAGTACACTTTTCTTTGTGCTTATATTTTAAAAAATGGCGTGGTTTCCTTTTGATTTTCAGAGTTATTTATAAAAGTACTTCTTCTGATAAATCAAAAAAGTAGAGGAGTGACATGTCAGACCAGTTAAATAATGTACGTTAACTGTTAGTGGACCGGAATTAATGTCTGCTCTGTGAATGCTGTGGAGGCTATCGGAAATATTAGAAAGAATCATATAGGGGATGGAGCCAGATAGAAAATAAAACCATCATATGTAATTAGATTGTCCATTGCATAACATCGCTAGGTCAAGTTTTATTTTGCGTACTGGAAAATTAAGTAATGGAGGCAGTAATTCAGCATATTGGTTGAGTTTTGAGTCCTTTCTTGCATATAATGCATTTTCTTTTTTCATACCAGTCAATTGAAGTTTTAGTATATACAGACAGTCTGAGATGACTGAAGTTGTGGGGCATTTTGATAGTTTCAAAGTATATTTCTAGAAATACCATTGTATGTTCTCCTACTGTATCAATGTATGAATCCATGCAGCAAATAAAAAAAAAAAAGAAAAAGCCCCAAAACCACAGCCAAATATTTTGCTATTTCGCCTTGTTTTTCTGAACGGTGTTTGGACATTTATGAATTGCACAGTAACTCAAGAAGCATGTTCTTTGTAAGACTTGTTTCTGAGAAAAATAGATTGTTAAGGAAGTAGAAAGATTAAAACGTTGCTGTTCAGGGCAAAGATGTTTGAGAGGAATTTCTTGGCTTGAGCCAGCTTCGGTTTTGTTTGTGCTTTTTACTTTTGGGGAATGTGCACGTGTTTCAATTACTGTTACTGATAAATAAAAGTTATTTTTAAGATTTTTTTTTTTTAAATGAAAACAGTTAATTTTCTGTGTGTGTGAAGCTTCATACAATCTACACTGTACGAAAAGGTTTAGAGGAATTAATCTAGCAGATCACTTTAATTCCATGTAACAGTTATTTTTATTGTAGAAAGTGTATGTATGTGCATTTAATTAATAGGTTTTACAGCGGTAGTAACAAAA